CAGTTGCAAGAGTTTCACGGGTTGAGGGCGAGTGGTTTTCAAAACGTGGCTCTCGCCCTGACGCCGCGCACATTCGTTCTGAACGTTAGCAAGAGTTTCACCGATTGAGGGCGAGTGGTTTTCAAAGTGTGGCTCTCGCCTTAGCGCCGCGCACATTCGTTCTATCCAATTTCAAGAGCTTCACGGATTGAGGGCGAGCCGTTTTCAAAATTTGGCTCTCGCGTTAGCGCCTCGCACATTCGTTTTCAAACTTTACAAGAGTCTCGCGGATTGAGGGCGGGCCGTTTTCGAAGTGTGGCTCTCGCCTTAGCGCCGCGCGCATTCGTTTTCAAATTTTCCCAGAGTTTCACGGATTGAGGGCGGGTCGTTTTCGAAATGTGGCTCTCGCCTTAGCGCCGCGCACATTCGTCTTCAACATTTGCAAGAGTTGTGTTTTTTCTTGGAAGGATGCAGGCTTATGAGGGTGCACAAGCTACATTGATTCGCAGTGTTCAGGTCCCTGGAATAGCGTTCTGGCATGATTCAGGCTCGTGAAGACGCAACAGTCAGGTTGATCCGTGCCGTTGTCATCCCGAGAACAATGTTTTGGTATGCTTCAGGGTCTTTAAACAGTCGTCTTCCAACGAGGCGGTTCCCTCAGTAAAAATCAATCGTTATAGGGGCCTGTGAAGAGGGAGCTTGGAGGGAGGGTTTATTCCGACATCGTTGAAGTCTCTTGGGTTTACACTGGTCCACCTCTTCCTCCTCCTCCTCCTCCTCCTCCTCCTCCTCCTCCTCCTCCTCCTCTCCTTCCCTCCTCTCCCTCCCACCTCCCTCCCTCCAGAGACCCCTGGCTCCGCGGGTGGCGGAGGTTGTACAGTCAACCCGCAGAGCAAGGATGAGTCGCTTTCCAAGGCTACCCTGGCATCCCTGCCCCGTCGGCCCATCCTTAGCTGCTCTCGCTGGCCAACCTCGTTCGAAAAACGTTCACATTGCCCGCCAAGGCCCTTGCATCCTTACCGCACATCCTCACTATATGTTCCGCGCATCCTCACTATGCGGGCTGACTGTAAGTCGTGCGCCGCCCCGCGGAGCCCCCACCCACAGAGACCGAGAACGGCTCGCTGCCCAGGCCAGTGTTGCAGGGCCCCGCAAGGACCCGCCCTCCCCTACATGCTCCTCTTGCGCTTCCCCCTCCCTGTCTCCTCCCTCCTCCTCCCCCTCCCTCCCCCTCCCTTGTCCTCCTCCTCCTCCTCCTCCTCCTCCCTCCCGCCAGCCGTAGCCATTTTGGCTCAAGGCAATGAACCGTCCCGACGACCGCGAGTCTTTCGGGGCGACCTCAGAGCGCGAGGGAGGTTCCGCTTTGAGGCCACTCTCCAATCCAGTCCAATCAATTTCAGGGGATCCCGATCCCGACAGAAGTTGCCTGTCGGTCCAAGCCCCTTCGCCAGCAGAGTCGAAGCCATGGTGCCGAGCCCTGCGGTGTTGCGCGGCCCGCGCAAGCCGCACTGGGGCTGCAGCCGCTGTGGCCGAGCGGCCAACTGGGCGAGCCGAATCACACGCTTGTGCGGCGCCAGCGCGCCGATGCGTGTGGTGGCCGCCGCTCGGGAGGCAGATAAAGCAGCAGCAGCAGCATGCACTCCGTCCAAGAAAGTTGGTGGCTCAGGCTTGCGCCCGTCACCAGCCCCATGGAGCGCCGAGCTCAAGTACATTCAGCAGATGGAGCAGCGCCTCAAGGCCACAGAGGCGGAGCTTCGCAAAGTCAAGGGTGGCAACAGTGTCAAGTCGCAAGAAGAAGCAGCTGCTGCTCAAGACCCAACTCAGGCTAAGCGTGCCAACGTTCTCAAGCAGATCGAGGTGTATGAGAAGGTCGTCAGGGACACTGCCGAGTTTGGCGGCGCCGTGCACGACGCGAACAAGGCTGCGCTCGAAGACCTTCGGGCTCAGGCCAAGGCGCTGCGGCCCCCCGTTACAGCGCACACGACGGCGATGCAGAAGCTTGAGAAGTCCAAGCAGCAGCTGGTCAGGCAGCAGAGCGAGCTGGAAGAGTTGCAGCGCAAGATGGCGCAGCTTCAACAAGACATCAGGTAAAGAGAGCGCAATCATCGCCAAGACGTCCGAGGTCAAAATTCTGCAGCAGGAGGTTGCCGAGAGTGCGGCCAAGCTCAACCCGCAGCAGCCCTCGACCAACGTCAAGGATGAGGCGCTTGACGAAGAGACGTTCAAGCTGGATACGGAGAGCGAAGAGGTCAAAGCCGTGCCAGAGCTCGTTGAGTTCTACGCCAAGTTCTCAGCCGATCCCGTGTTTGCCAAGTACCAGCAATTCATTCGAGAGAAGTACAAGAACAAGGATGTGCCCATGCCGCAGGCGGAGCAGCAGCAACCTCCACCCGCAGCGGGCACGGACGCCAGCAACAAGCGTGGCACCGAAGACGAGCTCAACTTACATGAAGCTCAAGAATTGTGGAACGACTTGCAGAGTACCGCAGCCCAAGGCGACGAGGCCACCAAGCTGCTCGAGCTTACCAACAAGATCCACAAAACCAAGAGGAGTCACACTCGCAGCCCTGATCATGGTGCTCCAGGTCAGTGCGCGACTAGCTCCTAACACGCTCATCGCCAACCTCCAAGGTCAGAGGATCGACGAAGGAGGAGATGGCACACGCAGTTCCAGTTCTGGGCCGACTTCGATGAGCTCGGCTTCGCCAGTTCAGATTTTTGCTGCTTCTGCCATTGGTGGAAGTACTGCAACAGATGGGAATGGTCAGTCTGATACAGGATGCAGGCCACATGCCAATGATCTCAGCATCGGTGTTCCCTGGGCCTTGGGGGTCTCTGGGCACTCCTCGTCTGCGGCCACGATGCCGCCGTTGCTGGAAGCCGCTCGCGCCAACTGGCAGTCAGGTGCGCAGCCTCAGTCCAACGCCAGTCGAGATCAGCTTCCAAGAGTGAGCAGCCCCAGAGTGTGTGGTGGTCGCAGTCAGGCTCCAGCTACTTCTGAGAGCGCGCTGCAGATGCATTTGATTGAGACCTTCATCAACGCCAACCAGGGTCGCAATACTTTAAAGAAGCGAGTCAAAGCAAGCAAGGCGAAGATCATCTTGGCTCAAGAGATCGGATACTTCGCCCATGATGTGGAGGAGCTCTACAGCTTCGCCGCCAAGATGGGTTGGTCAGTTATCGCGCTGCCAGGAGCTCCCGCAGCAGGACACCTTCCCACGGCAGGCGTCGCAGTATTTGCTCGCAATGGTATTGGTCTGCGCTGGTCACCTGCATCTAATACGTCGGAGATAGTTGCACATAGAGGGCAGCACATTCAAGTGGGCGCACCAGGCTGGCCGACCCTGAGTATATTCAACATCTACCTCTACACGTGTGAGGGCATGACAGTCAGGAACGCGGCCATTCTTGCCAAAGTTGGAGAAGAGATGGCGGGACTCACCCATCCAGCGCTCATTGGAGGCGACTGGAACATGAGTACAGATATCGTTGAGGAGTCGACTTTTCCGCTTCATGCGCATGTGGAGATCACAGCGCCGAAAGAGGTCACTTGTCGCACTCCAGCTTCGTCATCCACGATTGACTACTTCGCGCTGAGTGAGGCCGCTACGTTACTTTTTCGTACCGTCACGGTGGACGCCGAGTGGCACATCAAGCCGCATAGGCCAGTTCACCTGCACATGGCGGCAGTTGGCAAGTCCCTGTAAGTCTTGACCTACGGCGCGGCACCGAAGTTGTCACCCGTTGTCCCCGAATGCCCTCGCTTGCCAGAAGATCCCTGGACTCTGACTGCTAGGTATGCTGATGAGGCGTTGGTTCTAGTTAAAGAAGCACGGCCAGTTGCAGCGTGGGGTCTTCTAACGTTGGCATGGGGTCAGTTCGTCGAGCAAGCAGCCCGGCGCATTGCTCATATTACTGGCTCAGAGGTTAAAGATTACGGCGCTTACTCCAAATTCCTTCAGCCAAGATGGGTTGACATCCGCTACGAGCTGAAGGACGCCCCTGGAATCCAAGCGCGCGCAGATGGATGGAAATGGCTTTCTGATATGATGGCAACAATCGCTCACCTGCGTGAAAGCCGTCAGCCCGAGGAGATTAGCAAGATGCAAGACGAGATTCTCCTCCTGCAGTCATCTGCATGCCCTGGGCAAGGCTTAAATCGCAGGTTGGATGCAAGCGTCGAGCAGGCACGTCGAGTCGTCAGCAGTCAATTTCACGCAGATGCTATACGTGAGTTGCAAGACGAGTGGCAAGATTATATTGATCAAGCGTTTCAGGAAGCCGACAGAGACAGTCAAACGAGATGGAAAGATTGGTGTCGACAAGCCAGCGCTGGAGGGCTTCGGGGCCTTCATAGACTGACGCAAGTTCGACAAGTACAGGCTCCCACCACAGTTGTAACTAGTACTGGGAAGTATTCAGCTCATCCTCATGAGATTGTAGCTGCTATGGAAGCTGAATGCAAATCGATATGGCGAAGTTCCACGGAGGCCCCTAGAGCTTGGATTCCCGACAGAAGTTCTCATCGGCGAGCGGAACCAGAGGATATCCGCAGAGCCGCTCGCACCTTTCCAAGCACTACGTCATTTGGTCTCGACGGGCTTCATCCACGACATCTGTTGCATCTCAGCGACGATGCATTGCGAGTGCTGGCAGTACTGTACGAAGCTATGGAATCACTTGGGATGCTTCCCAAGCAACTGGTATGGATTCTCATGCCTATGCTGCCAAAACCTCAGGGAGGCCACCGTCTCATTATCTTGTACGCGTCGGCCTACCGCGTTTGGCAAAGGATGAGGAGATGCGAATCTGACGATTTGATGAACGTGCTGGACAGAAAATGTTGGGGCGCTGGCAAAGGTCGAAGTCCAATCGACAGCGCGTGGAAGTTAGCAGCCCGAACAGAAGCTAGCACAGCCTCAGGTCGTTTATCTGTCACGCTTATCGCAGATTACTCAAAGTATTACGATAATATCGAGTTGAAGCAGCTGCGGCAGAAGTTTATTCGCTTCGGAGCGGCCATGGCATCAGTCAAGCTCACCTACAACACCTGGCGTGCGCCGAGACTGACCCGACTGCTGCAGCATCGCGGCAATCAACTTGGACATGCAGAGTATGGTATTCCTGCTGGCTGCGGGGTGGCTGACATAGCCATTAAAGTGCACGCCGTCGAGCAGTACGATTATTATGTGGCACTCCATCCCTTAGTTGACTTCGCCAGCTACATTGACGACTCGAGCATGGGAGTCGAACGTGCAGACCGATCTTCAGTCATCTCCCTTGCGGTCGAAGCTGGCAAGGGTTTCTTGGAGACGGCTGCAGCACTGGGGGCCACTATCAATGAGAAGTTCGCAGTTCTCGCCAACGCGCGGGAACTGGCGGAGGAAGTTGCTACCAAGCTCGGCTTTTCGGCAGACAAGGCAGTCACAACGGCCACCTATCTTGGGATCAGGCTGCAGGCAGAGTTCGAAAGGCTCCGATCCGAGAACACGAGCGAAGATGTTCAAGCGCAAGGCCAAGCACCGACAACGACTTCGTAAGCTAAGACGGTATAAGAGGGCCTTGCCTGAGCTAAAAGAGCAAAGGATTGGCAAAGTTTTTCGCGCTGGCGCCAGGCCTGCGCTAACTTGCGGAGTGGAGATCTTGGGACTTGACAATGCTGAGTTATTGCAGCTGCGTCGTGATTACTGCAGGCAGGTCAAACCCTTCCACGGAGGCGTTTCTCTCTCAGCAAAGCTGGTATTATACGGTGACCCCGCTTTACGTCACGCTGTGGCGCCAGCATTGCAATGGAGTCGAATGGTTTGGATGGCAGTATCGCAGCCCGACACAGCAGTTGTATCCTTGCAGGTGCTCAAGTCATGGTGGGACAAGGCTTTACTCCACCTTGATATTGCAGCACTGGAATGGAAGGATACGCGAGGTCCCCTTGCTCGCGCAGCACTGTGTGTGCACAGAGTTGGTTGGACAATTCAGCCAAGTACAGTTTGGAAAGATCACCGAGGAGCTGCTATTCCCCTGGAGCAGCTCACACCTGGCATTCTTGAGGATCTCATGGGCAAGGCCATGCAGCGTCGACTTGAGATGACTTTGGCTGTAGAATGGGGGGCGCCTCCAGGATCTCGAGTTTCGTTTGATTTGATCAGGGCGACAGTTCGTCCCAAGAGCCGTCGTCTCAATAAGCATCAGAAATTTCTGGTTCGCACGTCGGCGGTGGAAGGTCATTGGACCAGGGAGCGAGCTCGACTCAGAGGTTGCCAGACTGATGGTCGCTGCAAGTGTGGAGCAGCATTATACGGATCACCACAGGCTGTTTGTGTGCACCTTGCCAGAGGTGATTGCAGCCAGAGCCGAATCTGAGGTGCCAGCTTCTTTTATCCAAGCAGCAATTGATCATCAAGATGAGAAGTGCTATACCCAAGGCTGCTTCACCTACGCGGACAGCGACATCCCAGAGCTCGATCCAGGGGTTGAGGCGCACTTAGTCACTCCAGAAGGTGAAGATATAGATGCAGAACCTGAACAGTTAGCTGAGCAACTTGTACAAGGCGACAGGTTAGAATTCGCAGTTGATGGATCATGCAGCAAGCCTTCTCTTGTCACTCTTCAGAGAGCTGGGTGGGCTGTGGTGCTGATGAACCCTACGGCTGACACACCAGTTGCAGTCATGTACGGCGCGGTGCCGAGAGCCATGCCCCAGTCGTCAGCAATGGCGGAGTTCCTGAGCATGGCGTTAGTCGGGCAGATCGCCGACAGTCCTTCGACGGTATATGCAGATTTTATGGCAGTGGTGAAGGCGGCTCTGAAATCGAAGCAGGAACAGCTGCAGGCCAGGTCAATGTACTCGTGCGTGCAGTTCTTTGGCCACCAGATGCGCGGCTATGATAACATCCAGAGCGTCCGCCACGTCAAGGCCCACAAGTCTGGCGAGCAGTACCAGGCGCTCTCGGACGAGGACAGGCGCATCACTGACGCCAATGTGGTCGCCGATGTGTTTGCCAAAAAAGCTGCGCTCTTGCACCCGTCCGCTTCTCCTGAGTTCCTTGTGAGAGTTGATGATGCCAGCGCCAACGCCAATTACTTTGTTAAGTTGTGTGCCCACGTGTTCCCGTGTTTCGAGCAAGAGGAGAGGTTTTCCAGGCTCCCCGTTTTCCCTCGGTCGAGGCACACTATGAAAGAAAACTGGCACGACTGGTGTAGGACCACCATTGGCACCCAGTGTAGGAATTGTCTCAGCGTATTGGAGCCAGGCCGAGACAGGCCCATGCTGGGCTGCAGAGGGTTGCCCAAGTTTTTGAGAGACTTCAGGCAAAATCCCCTGGGCCACCAGTTGCTGTTTCCCAGGGGAGCGTGACCAGCTGGAACTGTGCGGGGCCAGCCTGCGCAGCTCCAGTTTTTGTTTGTTATCTGTGCGGGGCCTGGGCTCAGCAACGTCGGAAAGATAAGCTTCGGTCCCCATGCGTGAAGCCCGCGTCTAAGGGTGACGAAGTGCTGCGAAATCTCAGAAGGGGAATTGGTCCGCATAAGAGGCTGGCCAAACGCATTGATTCTGTTGCGCCCCTTCAGAGAGTCGCCCCCGACAGCCCAGCCCTCTTCGAGTTCCACAAGCGTCACTCGATCGAATCCCGATTCTGTTTTGTCCTACGAGGCTCGTATGGCAGCATTGCATGCCCGAATCAAGGCAAAGGAGGAGGCTGCCCGAGGCGCAGTCCCTTCCCGATAGAGCAGCGGCCACTCGCTGTTCGTCCAGTTCCAGGCGGGCACGTGCGTGCCCGTGCTGTCAAGCAGTCATGTGACATGGTACTATTGCAGTCATTTAGTCATTTAGTCCTCCCTCCCGCCACTCTCCTCCTCCTCCTCCCCCTCCTTCTCCTCCTCCTCCTCCTCCTCCTCCTCCTCCTCCTCCTCCTCCTCCTCCTTAACGGCCCGTCTGCCACGCCAGGGCCCGCCAGGGCCCGCGCGCGCCCGCCCCGTCCCGGCGACCGCCCCTCCGCCCCGCCCCGTGGGTGGCCGGCCCCCCCCCCCGCGCTGGTTGGGGTCTTCCCGTCCGAGGGTTGGTGGGGACTGATGCTCGGAGCCATAGGGTGCCCTGGGCTTCTTGGGTTTCGAGTGGTTTTGCCGTGGAAGACGCGCTGTTCCCGCACCAAAAATCCATGGGCGTCCTGGGGTCTCAGGGTTGGGTTTCTTGTTGACGGTTTCTTGTGGGTGAGCCCCTGTTGTATCCCCTCCCAGGTCTCCCACGTTCGTCATGCACCCTGCGAGCAGTCAGTCCACATTCTCCCCAGACTTCCCCGCCTGCCCCCTTCAACGGACGCAGGATGGTCTGATATACATTTTGCCGCCATCGGGGACGCCAGACTCATGAAGGCGGGAAAGTCTCAGCCCTGGCACCGCAGGGCTACGGTCGGCACACGCTGCGTTGGCGCGCCAGCGACGCCAACGAAGGCGTTCTGGGTTGAATTCATCGACGCGCTGCCGGTGGACACGGTGACGCCATTGGATCCGACCGAATTCACTTTTGAGCGATCGGGGCCGCGATCGATTCAGGGTTGAAACGATCGACGCAGTGTCAGAACATTTTGCGCGCGCCAACGCCGAATGAACCTGCCGTAACCACTGCCCGAGCAGCCGATCTTTGGGGACCTCGGCGGGCGGCGGATGTGGATACGTGGCACCCCGCAATAGCGGGTATGAGTGAGGGGGCGGGCGCGGGGTGGGTCGCGAGTGGGTCGCAGGTGGGTCTCGTGTGGGTCGCGGGGCGGGCCGCGGGGTGGGTTGCGGGTGGGTGGGTCGCGGGAGGGCGCAAGGCGACGACGACAACAGCAACAGTCATTTTAAGATTGTCATTCGCTCTCACCTGCTCGCGTGTCAATCCAGATGTATGTCTGAAGCCCTCGATACCCGCCCTCTTCGTCTTCGATCGTACCTCCCTTGGGGGTATATCATCCTTACGTGCCACGTGTAGTGGGCGCAACCATTACAACAGGAAGAGGAAGGCAACAGGAAACAAGAGACAGCAAGGAGGAGGAGGAGGAGAGGAGTGCGGGAAGGGAGGGAGGAGGGAAGGGGGCAAGGGGGAGGGAGAAGGATGGAACACGAGAGAGATTAGCAGGAGAAGGGCCAGGAACAGCAAAGCAAACGGCAGAACCAGACGGGCAGCTCGGGCGGGCGGACCCCAGCAGACAGGTCGGGCGGGCGGGCCTTCACAGGCGGATCGGGCGGGCGGGTCGCTGAAGCGTCAGTCCTGCATGACTCGCCAGGAAGTCTCCAGCGAGGGCGCGGATCCCGAGTACCTCGGGAGGAAGTCCAGAGCGAGAGCGTGGTTTCTGAGTGTTGAGGCGCGGCGTTTAGACACATTGCGCGGAAGTCCCACGCGAGAGCGCACCGTCTAAGTAATGTGCAAGGAGTCCAGCGGAAACCATATTCTCAATACATTTGGAATGAGTTTCGGGCGGGAGCTGTTGTTGTTGTTGCTGCTGCTGCTGCTGTTGTTGCTGTTGCTGTTGCTGTTGCTGTTGCTGCTGCTGCTGCTGTTGTTGTTGTTGTTGAACTCTCACTCTTGAAGAATGATTATTGTTGATCCCCCCCCACCGGTGCACATTGATTTTTTTCGATTGAAGTGCCACCCCCGGGGCTCGCACCTTGTTTTTTGCTCAAGGAAAGTCTTCCTGCTCAAACTGTGCCCCTGCCCCCCGGGCTACAACAACAACGGCTCCCGCCTGAGACTTCCTCGATTTTTACTCAGGACCCCCGCTCCCGCCTGAGACTTCCGCGCAATTTACTCAGGAAAGGCGCTCCCATTTGAGACTTCCTCGCGATGTAATCAAGACCCCCGCTCCCGCCTGAGACTTCCGTGCAATTTACGTGGGAACGGCGCTCCCGCCTGAGACTTCTTCGAATTTTACTCAGGACCCCCGCTCCTGCTTGACATTTCCGCGCAATTGACTCAGGAACGGCGCTCCCGCCTGAGACTTCCTCGCAATTTAGTGAGGACCCCCGCTCCCGCCTGAGACTTCCGTGCAATTTGCTCAGGAACGGCGCTCCCGCTTGAGACTTCCTCGCAACTTAGTCAGGGCCCCCGCTTCCGCCCGAGATTTCCTCACAATGTACTCAGGACTGCGCTCTCGCGTGCGACGTCCTCACAAATTATTCTGGAATTGCGTTTCGGCGCTCAGGAACCACGCGCGCGCCAAGGACGCCTTCACAACGTGGTATCTTCCCTCTTCCTTCGTCCTTCCCCCTCCCCTTCCTCCCACTCTCCCTCGTTCTTCCCCTCCTCCTCTTGCAGGGCCCGCGCCAATTCCAATGGCGGGCAGAGAGATGTACGCCCCCGAAGGATTGTCCGCCCGTTCCGGTTTGCCCGCACGTCTAAGCCCGCCGGCCCCAGCAAAGAGAAATAATCCCCCCGAAAGGGGTGTGATCGAAGACGAAGAGGGCGGGTTTCGAGGGTGTAGGGTATACGTGTTGAATGACTCGCGGGCAAGTAAGAGCGTACAGCCTTAAAATGGTTGTTGTTGTTGCTGTTGTTGAGAACGACGAGTTTCAGACGCCCCCCCATGGGAGGGGGGGAGGGGGGGGCGCATCACATCGAATCCGGGGAGGGGGAGGCGCTGCACCTGCGAGATTCCGATGGGATCCCTGGCATTCCTGGATTCCTGGGGATCCGTCTGGATTCCTTGAGATCCTCCTCCTGCCCCCCTCCTCCTCCTCCTGCCCCCCCCCTCCTCCTCCTCCTCCTCCTCCTTCTTCTTCTTCTTCTTCTTCTTCTTCATCTTCTTCTTCTTCTTCATCTTCTTCTTCTTCTTCTTTTTCTTCTTCTTCTTCTTCTTTCTTCTTCTTCTTCTTCTTCTTCTCCTCTCCTCCTCCTCCTCCTCCTCCTCCTCCTCCTCCTCCTCCTCCTCCTCCTCCTCCTCCTCCTCCTCCCTCCTCCTCCTCCTCCTCCTCCTCCTCCTCCTCCTCCTCCTCCTCCTCTCCATCCTTCTCCTCCTCCTCTCCTCCTCTCCTCCTCCTCCTCCTCCTCCCCTCCTCCTCCTCCTCCTCCCCTCCTCCTCCCTCTCCTCCTCCTCCCTCCTCCTCCTCCTCCCCTCCTCCTCCGCCTCCTCCTCCTCCCCTCCTCCTCTCCTCCTCTCCTCCTCCTCCTCCTCCTCCTCCTCCTCCTCTCCTCCTCCTCCTCCTCCTCCTCCTCCTCCTCCTCCTCCTCCTCCTCCTCCTCCTCCTCCTCCTCCTCCTCCTCCCCTCCCCCTCCCCCTCCCTCCCTTTCCTCCCCTCCTCCTCTCCTCATCCTCCTCCTCCTCCTCCCCCTCCTCCGTTCTTTGCCCCCTTCTTCCTGCCCTGCTCCTCCTCCCCCTCCCCCTTGCCCCTGCCCCCGTGCCTGCCCCTCTCCGGGAGAGGCCTCCTGCTTACATCGGTCGGGCCGTGCCCCTGCCTTCCCGAGCCTCTCCCACTGCCAGAGGAGGGGCCTCGCGCATACCTCGGTCGCCCCCGAACGGGTTGGTGACCACACCGTGCGGTGAGTCGGTGGGGATTCGGAGTCACCGCACGGTTTTGGGACTCGGGTCGTCCTCCGAGGATGTCTCGGGCGACAGGGGCCTCCGGGGTCTCAAGACCGAGCGGTGACGGACCGTGCGGTGAGGTCTTGGGGGATTTCGAGGTCACCGCACAGTCCGTCACCGCACCGTTTCGGGACTCCAAAGCATACCTCGGCCTTCCCCCCCCCCCCCCGCCGCATGGGACCACAATTTAGTTGGGCCTCGGCCCTGCTCTGCTGGCTTCTCTGGAGCCGAGGCAGGGATGAGCTTTCCGTCGGGTTCGGCCCAAGAATAGCAACACAACTGTCAGGGGACGCTTCTTCGGCTATCTTTGACCATCCTTGAGAGTATTTTTTTGGGGGCTTTCTGCATGTTTCCTTGGAAGTCCGCCTGTAGGAGGACATGCCCGACCGAAGATAAGCGGTCGGGGCGAAGGGACGGGGGTCGGTGCAAGCGGGGGGGCGGTCAGAGCGCCAGACCTTGCAGGACGTCTGGACGCCCGAAATGGGCACGGGAAGAATGGGCACAATGCCCAACAGCAGTTCCTGTTCATTTTGAGCAGGGCTCGCTGTCCGCGCCGCCGCGGCCTGTGTCCATTCGAGACAGGAGGCCGCCCGCCCAAGAGCGGCCTCCGTTGGTTTGGGGCAACATCTGCTGTTGGGCATTGTACCCATTCTTTCCGTGCCCATTTCGGGCGTCCAAAGGACCCTGCAGGGCCAGGGGTGCCCTAACCCGGGCCAGGGTGCAGGACCCTGCAGGATCCTGCAGCATCTTGCAGGACCTTGCAGGATCCTGGGAGGCCCGACGGACCCGGATTTGCCTCGACGCGGGGCAGCAGATCCCCGAAGCTGGGGACCGCCGTGCGTAGCCTGGAGGTGCGACACCTCCTCCTCCTCCTCCTCCTCCTCCTCCTCCTCCTCCTCCTCCCTCCCTCCTCCTCCCCCTCCTCCCCCTCCTCTCCTCCTCCTCCTCCTCCTCCTCCTCCTCTCCTCCTCCTCCTCCTCCCCCGACTACTTCTCCTCCTCCTCCTCCTCCTCCTCCTCCTCCTCCTCCTCCTCCTCCTCCTCCTCGGGTCTCCCCTTCGATCCCGCCGCGTGCGTGGGGCCTCCTGGCGCGCGCGCGCGCCCGCGGGGAGGGGGAAGCGCGCAGGCGCTGCGGCACCGCGAACCCCAACGGCACAGGCGGTGGCGGTGGGGGAGTCGGAGGCACGCGCGGGGGCAGGCGGACGAGGCACTCTCCCAGTCAGTCTCGGGGCTGCGCCGTGCGAGGCGTGTCGACCTCCAGAGCTCTCGACGACTCTGCGAGGAGGATGCGCCCCCCTGCAGCTCTGGGCCCGACTCGGTGCTTGAGAGCTCCGTGGATTGGCCAGCTCTTCAGATCGTTCCATCTCACCAGCATCATGCCGTCAACGCTTGCCCGGCCCCCAAGGGGGCCTTCACCTCTCTGGATTCGAAGCAGCCCGTGGGAGTACCGCGGACGCTGGACCCCGTAACGGGCTTGATTCCGTGTTCTCGCACAGCGGCCGTGGTGGCGCTGCGGACTAGTCCCAGTGACGGGCCCGTCTCCCTGGCCTGGCATGGTAGGGAAGGGAGGGTGGGGGAATGGGAGTGAAGGGCGTGGAGGGACGAGGCTGGGGGGCTTGTGACTCTACACGATGTCCGGAAGCTGTCGTCTGAGTCGTGGGTGCGCCGAGCGGCCAGGCCGGGCCGGGATCCCGGAGCGCCATCGCGCGGATCACCGCTGCTGTGGCCGCCCCTCCCGTCCCGGAGTGCCACCGCATGCTCCGGAACCAGTCGGCCAGTCGGCCAGTCGGGGAGCCGGCCGGTCGGGGAGGCGGCCAGGGACGGGGGGGGGAGTCGGAGAGTGCACCGCGGTGCCCCAGGGGCTCTCCCCCGCTGTTGCCAGAGGTCGCCCTGGCCCCAGGATCTCGAGGGCGCGCCCAGCCGCGGCCGCGCGGACGCCTCCCGGCCGGGCCCGGCCGGGCCCGGCAGCGTCCAGGGGCCTCGGGGCCCCCCAGGCTCCTGGCAGCCGCCGCCCGCGAGGGCCCGTCGCCGCCCGGGGCCGAGGGCGGCAGGGAGCCAGATAACCGACGGCGGCGTTTTTTTTGGGGGGGGAGGCGCTTTCGAATTTATTTGTTTGTTTGTTAATTTGTTTGTTTGTTTGTTTGTTTATTCTCTTCTCCTCGTCACACCGTGGGCCCCGGAGTGTCTGGACCCCCTGTCCCCGGGACCGGCTCCCCGCCCCGAGCGGTCTTTTTGGCCAGCCCTGGGGCCCGCCGGCACTGGCTTCAAAAACCGTGCGTGGTGCGTTCTCCACGGCGAGGGTCGGCCACGCGCGGGGGGGGTACAGTGGAAACCCATGCCAAGAAACACCCTGCTTGCCTCCAGGGCGCCCTGGGTTTCTTGGATTTCCATGGTTCTGCCGGAGGAGGAGGAGGAGGAGGAGGAGGAGGAGGAGGAGGAGGAGGAGGAGGAGGAGAGGCGGAGGAGGGAGGAAGAGGAGGAGGATGGGCGGAGGCGGAGGAGGGAGGGAGGATGATGAGGAGGAGGAGGGGAGGAGAGAGGCGGAGGAGGAGAGGGAGGAGGAGGAGGAGGAGGAGGAGGAGGAGGAGACGAAGAAATCACGACGTCGGGGGTCGGGGGGGGAGGGGGGAGGCGCGGGACCCTACGACCCCTACGGGGAGGAGGGGGGGATGGTGACGCATGCCGGTAGATCCGTGCAGCACGTCAGTGGAGATGCCAGCGGCTGGGGCGGCAGCAGCACCGATGGCAGATCTGGGTCATCCAATTCGCTCTAGCTCGGCGGCGAGCGAGGAAGGGAAATGAGAAGGAGAACGCCTCGTCAGAAGGCGGCGGGACTTCGCAGCAGCCCTCGCGCCTTCCGAGAAGTTTTCTGTGTCTTTGGGGAAGGCTTATCACCGAGCGCGTTCCACTACTCGCCAAGTGCCTACTCACAAACGTGCGAAAAACAGATGTGTGCTTCGATGTAAATTCTCGTAGATCTCCCCCAGCGGATCCAGGCCATTTACGAGTAGTCTTTTTGCGAGTAGTGGAACGCGCTCGTCTAGCTTACGAAACCTCTCAGACGGCCGGGGGCCTCCTCTCACACGGCCGGGGGACGTCCGAGCCTTCTGGGAAGGCCCGTCCCTTCCCACTCCCTCCTCCTCCTCCTCCTCCTCCTCCTCCTCCTCCTCCTCCTCCTCCTCCTCCTCCTCCTCCTCCTCCTCCTCCTCCCCCCTGGGCTCGCCGCCGATCGAACCCGGGGCGGGGGGAGGGGCGGAGGGCGCGGGGGCCCCAGCGCACGACGACGTGGCCCTCACAGTGCGCGGCCCCTCAGGCGCCGCCGACCCCGTCCCCGCCTGTCGGGGGAGCGTAAGACCCGGGTTTGCTGGGCCTCGGGTTCGCCATCGTTTTTTGACGACCGCGACTCGGATTTTGACGAGTAGGAGTTTCGTGGGATGTCTGCAGCGGGAGGCCTCGTCAAAATGCAGGCTCGGCCTCGTCATTTTTTTGACCTCGTCGGGGATTTCCGAGTCCCCCGTACCCGGGTCTTACGTCTCCCCGAGCCTGGCCCGGGAGCCCACCAAGATGGCCGAAGGTTGCTCGAAGCTGGCCCAAGACGACCCACGAGGCCTCCAAGAGGGCCTCCAGGAAGGCCAGAAAAAAGGCCAACGATACTGATTTTCCTCAGGTTTTCAAGGATTTCGACATTTGCTTCGGTGCGGCCTTCCGACGGCCCGAGACGGCCCACGAGCCCCCAAATATCGCCCAAAGATCGCCCAAAATGCCTCGAAGATGGCCCCAGAACGGCCCAAGAGGCCAGGTTCTCTCGTCTCGGATTCGTTCCTGCTGGCCTGGCCTCAGGGCCCGATCGCGGGCCAGCGAGAGGCCGAGGTCGCGAACAGACGCAGGGATGGAGCGAGGCATACTTCAGTCGGGCGTGTCCCTCTGCAGGAGGAGTATTCACAAACAGTTAAGACATAGCATGGGGACTGTATCAAGCGCTTTTCTCAGCACTTTGGAGCCTGTTTCTCGACGACCTTGATACTTTTCTCGTCCAGCATCCCCCTGCATGGGGACAGGCCCGACCTGAAGCTGCACCGTCGCTGCGAGGAGCCGATCTTTTGGGGGGCCCCTGGCGAAAGTCTGTGCTGCGCGGCGGCGGAGGGGGGAGGCTGCCGGCGCCCGCAGGGTGGAGGCGCGCGGGGGTCGGCCTGCTCTGCGCAGGGCGCGCGGGGCTGCTCCGAGGGCGGGGGGCCTCCTCTCGGAAGGCCCCGGGAGGCTTCTCGAGAGGGCGGGGGCCCTCCTCCAGGGGGGCGGGGGCCTTCTCGGAGGGCGGGGGCCTCTGAGAGGCACTCTCAAACAGAAGACGGAAGCGGGCGGGGCCTCTGGAGGCACCCCCTGCCTTCCTGGAGCCCCGCCGCCTTCGCAGAAGCGCCCCCCCCCCCTCCTGGCGCCCCAGCCCTCGTGGGCGCCGCCCGGGAGGGAGGAGAGGAGACGCAGCCACACGACGGCGAGGGCGCAGCGGCGGGGCAGGCGGGCGGGGCAGGCGGGGAGAGAGCGGGAGGAAGGCGGCAAGCGGGGAGCACGGGGAGGAAGAAGAGGGACGGGATGCCACCTCCTCCTCCTCCTCCTCCTCCTCCTCCTCCTCCTCTTCCTCCTCCTCCTCCCCCCCCTCCCCCTCCCTTTCCTCCCTCTCCCCCCCTCCTCCTCCTCCTCCTCCTCCTCCTCCTCCTCCTCATGCCCCTCCCTAGGCTGCCACGCCCAGGGCGGCCTTTAAAGTTTTCCAGGCGCTACGATCCTCGTGATCACGGTCCTGGCAACGTGCTAAGAGAACACGGGAGACGAGGGGCAGTAGGGGGGAGGAGGGGGGATCAGGAGAAGTGTGAGATACTGTTGTTGCTGATGTTGTTGCTGTTGTTGCCGTTGCTGTTATTGTTGTGATTGTTTTTGTTGGTGATGGTGGTGATGGTGATAATGCTGATGATGATGATGACGACGATGATCATGATGATGCTGATGATGATAATGATGACGACGCGGACTAGGATGAGGATGTTGTTGATGATGATTACGGCGATGACGATGATGACGACGACGATGAGGATGACGACGGTGATGGTGATGATGATGGAGGCGATGCTGATGCTGATGGTGCTGACGATGACGATCACGATTATGATGATGTTGCTGATGATGATGACGATGATGATGAACATGCTGCTGATGCTGATGATAATGCTGCTGCTGCTGCTGATGATGATGGAGGCGATGCTGATGATGCTGATGAAGATGATGTTACTGAAACTGCTGATGATGCTGCTGGTGAGGATGACGACACGCAACAGGATGCTGCTGATGTCGATGCTTATGATTACGCCGATGCTGCTGCTGATGATGATACAGTTGCTGATGATGCTGATGCTGATGCTGATGACGCTGATGACAATGATGATGATTGTGCCGATGCTGCTGCTGATGATGATGACCACGGCGATGATGATGATGATGATGATGATGATGATGATGATGATGATGATGATGATGATGATGACGATGCTGATGATTATGATGATGATTCTGATGATGATGGTGATGATGATGACGATGCTGATGCTGATACTAAAAATGATGACGACGCGGACGATGCTGATGATGCTGATGATGTTGATGCTTATGATGATCATTCTGATGATTCCGACGATGATGATGATGCTGATGATGATGATGATGATGATGATGATCATGATGATGATGATGATGATGATGATGATGATGATGATGATGATGCTGACGACGATGACGGACGACGATGGTGATGGTCATGATGCTGGTGACGACGACGATGATGCTGCTGATGATGACGCTGATGACGATGCTGATGATAATGCTAATGATGATGATGCTGCTGCTGCTGATGGTGATGATACTGCTGATGATGATGTTGCTTTTGCTGATGATGATGCTGACGATGGTGATGGTGATGGTGATGATAGTGCTGAGGATGAAGATGATGCTGCTGATGATGATGGTGATGATGATGACGGTGATGTTGCTGCTGCTGCTCATTATGACGATGACGCTGACGAGTATGAGGGTGCTATTGTTGTTGATGATGATGATGATGAGGATGCTGCTGCTGATGATGATGATGCTGGTGAGAATGCTGATGCTGCTGCTGATGCTGCTGCTTCTGATGATGGTGCCTGGTGTTGCTTATACAGTCTCATCTGGCGACAACGATGCTGCTGACGATGACGGACGACGACGGGCGATGATGATGATGATGATGATGATGACGACGACGACGACGATGATGATGATGATGATGATGATGATGATGATGATGATGATGATGATGATGATGATGATGATGATGATGATCGTGATGATGATGATGATGCTGATGACGATGATGATGATGGTGATGCTGTTGATGATGCTCATGATGATACTGATAATGCTGATGGTGATGAGGATGACAGTGTTGATGGTAATGTTGATGATGATGGCGATACTGCTGACGATGTTGATGATAATGATCATGACGATGAGGTTGCGGATGCCGGTGCTGATGATGATGCGCACGATGATGAGGATATCGATGACGATGACGACGACGATGCTGGTGCTGATGATGCTCATGATGATGATCATGGTAATGATGATGCTGATGATGCTGCTGCTGATTCTGATACTGATGCTGTCGATGATGATGACGAATAGTTATGATGGTGCTTATGATGATGCTGATGATGATGCTGCTGCTGATGATGATGATGCCTCATGGTGGTGGTGGCGGTGGTGGTGATGATGACGATGCCGAGGATGATGCCGATTATGACGACGGCGACGAAGATGATGCTGCTTCTTATGCTGCTGCTGCTGCTGCTTGTGGTTGTGGTGGTTGTTGCTAGTGGTTGTGGTGAACGACTGCGAGGAGGAGGAGGGGGAGGAGGAGGAGGAGGAGGAGGAGGAGGAGGAGGAGGAGGAGGAGGAGGAGGCGGAGGAGGAGTAGAAGGATGATGAGGAGGAGGAGGAAAAATGACGTGGTTGTGGTGATGGTAACTATCAGAGGAGGAGGAGGAGGAGGAGGAGGAGGAGGAGGAGGAGGAGGAGGAGGAGGAGGAGGAGGGCGGGGGGGAGTAGGTGGCGGATGAGGAGGAGGAGTGGGAGGAGGTAGAGGAGGAGGAGGAGGAGGTGGAGGAGGATGAGGAGGAGGAGGAGGGGTAAGAGGACGGGGGAAGGAAGGGAGGTAGGGGAGGAGGAGGAGGAGAGGAGGAGGAGGAGGAGGAGGAGGAGGAGGAGGAGGAGGAGGAGGAGGAGAGGAGGAGGAGGAGGAAGAGGAGGAGGAGGAGGAGGGAGGAGGAGGAGGAGGAGGAGGAGGAGGGAGGAGGGAGGAGGGAGCAGGGGGCAGGTGGAGGAGGCGGAGGCGGAGGCGGAAGGCAGGATGCCGAAGGAGAGGCGACGACAATGGCCTCCTGTTGGCGCTCCCCCCCCCCGCGGCCGCTCTCCGGGCGAGGCGCGGCGCCCGGCGGCTTCCAGAAGCCAGGCGACTGGGTGTGCCCCAACTGCGGGGACATCGTCTTTGGCAGGACGCGCCTCGCGCTCGCGCGGCATCGCGCTCGCGCACACCGACCCGGCAGAGGCAAGTTTCGCCATGCTCTGCGATGGGGGCACTGTTGGAACGGGTTCTCTAGCAGCGCGGGTGTTGGAAGCACACATACAGACACATCGTGGACCAGAGATTCTACTCTTGGCGAGACAGGGCGTCAACATGACAGGGCCGATATCTTCACGACAGGGCGATTCTGGGCTACATTTTGCACTTCAGATCGGCTGTCCTAAGTAGGATCTGAGCCAGAACGAAAGAAAGAACGAAAGGGGGAGGGGGAGAGGGAGGAGGAGGAGGAGGAGGACCTGGAGGCAGGGAAGGCGGATGATGGTGATGATGATGATGATGATGATGATGATGATGATGATGATGATGATGATGATGATGATGATGATGATGAGGATGAGGATGATGATGATGATGCTGATGCTGCTGCTGCTGATGATGATGATGCTGATGCTGATGCTGATGCTGCTGATGATGATGCTGCTGATGATGCTGATGATAATCATGATGATGCTGATGATGATGATAATGGTGATACTGATAATGATGATGATGATGATGATGATGGTGGTGGTGGTGGTGGTGGTGATGATGATGATGATGATGATGATGACGACGACGATGATGATGATGATGATGATGCTGATGATGATGATGATGGCTGATGATGATGATAATGATGATGATGATGATGATGATGATGATGATGATGATGATGATGATGATGATGATGATGGCTGATGAGGCTGATGATGATGATGATGATGATGATGATGATGATGATGATGATGAGGATGAGGATGATAATGAGGATGATAATGAGGATGAGGATGAGGATGAGGATGAGGATGAGGAGGAGGAGTTGGAGGAGGAGGAGGACAGTCAGAAGGCCAGCTGGAAGAGTTCTTGCATTTCTATTTTGCTACCCTCTCCTTTCTGGTATTCGTTGTCTGCCCACACCGGGCCCACGGCGATGTTTTATCTCATGGCTCCGTCGGGGCCTCTTCCTTCCTTCTCCCCCTCATCTTTCTTTCCTTTTACTTCCATATATCCCCGCCTCTTATTTCCCCTCCTCCCCGCGAGACGAGAGTGGGTCGTCAGGGACTCAATAGAATTCCCTCGTGTTCCTCCTGCTGCTGTTGCTCCTCCCCCTCCTCCTCACGGCCCGGTAGAGGGAGGAGGACGGAGGAGGAGGTCGGAGGAGGACGGAGAAGGACTGCGGACGTCGGAGGAGGACGAAGGAGGAGGGAGGAGGACGGTGGAGGACGGAGGAGGACTGAGGAGGACGGAGGAGGACGGAGGAGGTCGATGGAGGAGGAGGAGGAGGAGGCGGAGAAGCAGGAGGAGTAGGAGGACTGATGATGATGATGATGATGATGATGATGATGATGATGATGAGGATGAGGATGAGGATGATGATGATGATGATGACGACGATGATGCTGCTGATGATGATACTGATGATGATGATTATGCTGATGATGCTAATTATGATGATGATGATGAGGCTGATGCTAATGCTGATGATGCTGATGATGCTGATGACGCTGATGATGCTGCTGATGATGATGACGACGATGATGCTGCTGATGATGATGCTGATGCGGATGCTGATGATGATGATGATGATAATGATGATGATGCTGATGGTAATAATGATGATGCTGATTATGATGATGATGCTGATGATGATGACGATGATGATGATGATGATGATGATGATGATGCTGATGCTCATGCTGGTGATGATGACGATGGCGATGACCATGCCGTTTGTGATGATGACGCTGATACTGATGACGATGATGATGATGCTGCTGCTGATGATGATGATGATTGTGATGATTGTGATGATGCTGCTGATGATGCTGATGATGATGATGATGATAATAATGATGGTGCTGTTGATGATGATGCTGATGTTGATCATGACGACGATGACGGACGACGATTTTGATGGTGATGATGAGGCTGATGATGATACATGTTGCTAATGATGGTGCTGATGATGATGACACTGATACCGATGATGATGCCGATGATGATGATGCTGCTGGTGCTGGTGATGCTGCTGCTGCTGATAATGATGATGATGATGATGATGATGATGATGATGATGACGATGCTGATGATGATGCTGATGACAGTGATGATGATGATGCTGATGAGGCTGATGATGCTGCCGACGGTGATGGCGTTGATGGTGATGCTGTTGCTAATGATGCTGATGATGCTGATGCTGATAATGATGCTGATGATGATGCTGATGCTGATGATGATGGTACTGCTGATGATGACGATGATGGTGATGCTGCTGATGCTCAGTATGCTGCTGCTGATGATGGTACTGATGATCATGATGCTGCTTCTGATGATGCTGATGATGCTGCTGCTGATGCTGATGCTGACCATCCTGATGATGATGGTGATGATGCTGCTGCTGATGCTGCTGCTGATGTAAGTGATGATGATGCTGCTAGTGATGCTGATGGTGATGTGGAAGACGATGAAGATGCTGCTGCTGATGATGATGCTCATGCTGATGCTGATGCTGCTGACGGTGATGATGTTGCTGCTGCTGAAGATGTTGATGCTGACAATGATGATGCTGATGGTGATGCTGATGCTGCTGATGCTGCTGATGCTGATGCTGATGATGACGATGACGATGATAGTGATGATGGCGATGATTACCATGATTATGATGATGCTGACGATGCTTCTGATGATGCTGACGATGATGCTGCTGCTGCTGATGATGATCAAGATGATGATGCTGCTATTGATGATGACGACGATGATGCTGATGCTGTTGATGGTGATGATGATACTGATGCTTGAGGCGATGCTGATGAGGATGCTGCGGCTCATGATGATGAAGATGATGATGCTGCTGATGCCGCTGATGACGATGATGATGATGCTGATACTGATGACGATGATGATGCTGATGCTGATGATGCTTATTCTCATTCTTATGCTGATGTTGCTGCTGATGAGGATGATTATGCTGCTGATGACGATGATGATGATGAGGATGATGCTGTGGAGGATGAGGATGCTGATGATCATGATGATGCTTATGTCGTTGCTGCTGCTGTTGTTGATGATGATGACGGCGATGCTGATGCTGATGCCGATGATTCTGATGTTGCTGCTGATGATGATGGTGATGTTTATTTATGATGCTTATGATGACTATGCTGATGATGCTGATGATGACGATGAATATGAAGAAGATGATGATGATGATGATGCTGATGATGATGATGATCATGATGATGATGATGATGATGATGATGATGATGATGCTGATGATGATGATGATGATGATGATGATAATGATGCTGATTCGTGTGATGATGATGACGACGATGATGGTGATGCTGCTGCTGATGATGATGATGATGCTGACGATGATGATGATGATGATGATGATGATGATGATGATGATGATGATGATGATGATTGATGATGATTGATGATGATGATGATGATGCTGATGATGATGATGATGATGATGATGATGATGATGATGATGATGATGATGATGATGATGATGATGATGATGATGATGATGATGATGATGATGAATGATGATGATGATGATGACGACGATGATGATGATGATGCTGATGATGATGATGATGATGATGATGATGATGATGATGATGATGATGATGATGATGATGATGATGATGATGCTGATGATGATGATGATGAGATGAGGATGAGGAGGTGGAGGAGGAAGAGAAGGACGAGTAGGAGGAGATGGAGGAGGAAGAGGAGGAGGCGGAGGAGGAGAGGAGGAGGGGGTGGAGGAGGAGGAGGAGGAGGGAAGGGGAGGAGGATGAGGAAGAAGAGGAGGAGGAAGAGGAGGAGGATGAGGACGAGGGAGGAGGAGGAGGAGGAGGAGGAGGAGGAGGAGGAGGAGGAGGAGGAGGAAATGAAGGAGCAGAAGGAGGAGGAGGAGGAGCAGGAGGATGAGGAAGATAAGGATGAGGATGAGGCGGCTGCTGCTGCTGCTTCTCTTGCTGCTGCTTATCCTGTCACTGTTGCTACTCATGGTCTTGGCCTGGACCCCCGCATCCTGCCCCTTCTCCCCCGCGTCGCCTTGAGGAACCCGTCCTGCCGCAAGTGCGGCAACCCCAAGCCCGAGGGCACCTTGGACGTGTTCGGCAACCCCGCGGTCGGCGGGGGTGGAGGACCACCTACGAAGATGCCAGGCTGCGCCCTCGGATGTCGTCATCGAAGTAGGACGAGCTGGCGTAGGAGGAGGAGGAGGAGGAGGAGGAGGCGGAGGAGGAGGAGAAGGAGGGGGAGGAGGAGGGGGAGAAGGAGGAGGAGGAGGAGGAGGAGGAGGAGGAGGACCAGTGTAAACCCAAGAGTCATCATCGATGTTGGAATGAACCCTCCCCCCAAGCTCCCTCTTCATAGGCCCCTACAAGGTTCATTTTCACTGAGGGAACTTCCTCGTTGAAAGAGACAACAGTCTGAAGACCATGATGCATGCCAAAACATCGGTCTCGGGATTCCAACGCCACTGATCAACCTGACTGTTGCGTCTTGACGATCCTGAATCGTGCTGGAACGCCGTTCTTGGGACTAGAACGCCACGAATCAATGTATCTGTTGCACCGTCATGAACTTGAATGCTTCCAAACGGGAACCCGTGAAGCTCTTGCAAATCTTAAACACGCATGCGCGCGGCGCTAAGGCGAGAGCCTCATTTTTGACAAGGCGCCGCCCTGAATCCGTGAAACTCTTACACATGTTAATGTGCGCGGCGCTAGGGCGAGAGCCGACTTTTGAACAGAAACCGCCCTCAATCCGTGAAGCTTTGACACTTTTTCCAACAGATGTGCGCGGCGCTAGGGCGAGAGCCACATTTTGAAAACGACCCGCCCTTCATCCGTGAAACTCTTGTACATTTTTTCATACGAATGTGCGCGGCGCTAAAGGCGAGAGCCGGCATTTTGACAACGACCCGCCCTCCATCTGTGAAACTCTTGCAATGTTTTAAAACGAATCAGCGCGGCGCTAAGGCGAGAGCCACATTTCGGAAACCACCCGTCCTTCATCTGGGAAGCTGTTGTCAATTTTTATACCTCAGGGTCGTAAGTGGTGAGGAAGTCCTAGGCGAAACGCCCAGACCGCCCTGAAAACTGGCCCGGGCATGCGACAAGGAGAAGTTATTCATAAGGAAAAGGAGCGGAGGAGGAGGAGGAGGAGGAGGAGGAGGAGGAGGAGGGAGGAGGAGGAGGAGGAAGAGGAGGAAGAGGAGGAGGAGGAGGAGGAGGAGGAAGAGGAGGAGGAGGAGGAGGGGGAGGAGGAGGGGGAGGAGGAGTGCGCGCCGCCGAGGCGACTGGCTGTGCGGCGCCTGCGGCGACCACCAGTTTGCGAGGAGCGCCGCCGTCGCGCGCGCCGTGGCGGGGGGGAGGAGCAGGGAGCAGGGCCCCCCAGAGGCCCTTTTCTTGGCTCGAGGCACCGCGCGTTTTGTCTCGGGCCAGGTCTTGTCCCTCGTGGTTCGAGGCTTTTATCTCCAGGTTTTACTCGGAGGGTTTTCGAGGGCTTGTCGAGGGCTTTTTCGGGGGGGGGGGTCCGGGCCACGTGCTTCGTCTCGGGCCAGGTCTTGCTCCTCGCTTTGCTCCTTCCGCTCCTGCTCTGCCCCCTCGCCTCCCCCCTCTCCGACCTTCGCCTCTCCGGCTCCTCGTTTATTTCTGCCTGGGCCCCCCCCTCGGGGCGGCCGCGTTCGCGGCGAGGCAGGGGTCCGCGATTTTTTCCCGAGTTCGTGTCCTGCGCACCTCCGGGTGTATGACCTCTTGCTAGTTTGCTTGCTTGCTTGCTTGCTTGCTTGCTTGCTTGCTTGCTTGCTTGCTTGCATATGTCATTTGTGCATCTTGGGAGGTGTCAGGTCATGTGTGCGGCCATGTGGCCGACGGGGTGTGTTCGAGTGAGCCAGGGCAGGACGAACGGGACAGGTGTGTTCCACTTCCATCCCTGGCTTCCGGGCCGTACCATTGATGCTCTCCCTTCCTCCCTGCCTGCGCGCAGACGTGACCACGACAGGTGTTATCACCATTGCCACCTCGTCGTCTCACGCGGTGTTTGTATTGCTCCTTTGCCGACGATGTCGAGCTAGATATTTAGTTTTAGTTGTGTGCACGATTGGCAGATAGCACGGATCAAAATTGCGGATGCAAATGTGGAAGGAGGAGTGATAGTAAGAAATTTATGGCGAGAATTAGTAGGCATACGGTGATGCGACGGAGAGGGAGGAGGATTGGCAGGAGGAGCAGGGGGAGGGGCATGCGACGGTGAGGGGTACGAGGAGCTGGACGAGGATTCTGATGAGGTGGATGTGGATTCCTGGAAGGTTTAGGAAGGGCGACATCGAGGCGGATGCGAAGGATGGGCACGAAAAGGAACACAATGGGAGAAGGATGAGGAGGAGGAGGAGGAGGAGGAAGCGGGATGAGGAGGAGGAGGAGAAGCACGTGGAGGAGGAGGAGGAGGACGAGGAAGCGGGAACAGGTGGAGGAGGAGGAGAAGGAGGAGGAGGTGGAGGTGGAGGAGGAGAAGGAGGATGATGATGAGGAGGCGGTGGAACATGATGGGATGAGTGAGACGATGATGAAGAGGAGGAGGAGGAGTAGGAGTAGGAGTTGGAGGAGGAGGATGAGGAGGAGGGGGAGGAGGGAGGATGAGGAGGAGGAGGAGGAGGAGGAGGAGGTGGAGGAGGAGGAGGGGGAGGAGGGATAGGAGGAGGAGGACACGGGAGGAGGAATCTTTTTATTCATAATTCTATTCACGAATAAGAAGAACAATACTACGAGGACAACTAAGGCAGCACATTCAACAACGACTATACTAATACGAGCGCTAATAATATTGACATGATCATACTATTAATAGTGGTAGGAATAATGCCAATACTAATCGTAAGACGCAGACGACTCATACCAACGATATTAGTAAAACGAACAAGAGGCAGCATCATACAACTAAGACGAAGCGCAGGAGGAGGCGGAGGAGGAGGAGGAAGAGGAGAACCGCTCGGATGATCAGGGGTCAGTTTCAAAAAGGACGGAAGCGCTTTCGCAGGGCGAGGGGCTTTGACCACTGTGGGGCCGCCCGATGGGTTAAAACACCCTGCGTGATTTTCTCCAGAAGCTTACTTCCCGATGGAGGGCACGGCTGATACTCCTTCAAGAGGTTGTGCTGCTACAGGTGGCGTGTGCCACGCAGCTTACACGCACATGCAAGTATCCCGTCCAGATAACAATATATGCCACGAGACGCGTGCGCGACAGAAGCCCCGATCAGCAAATTCTGGAGCTGCCTGGCATCTGGAACGGCCCGGCACCACGGTTTCGCGGGAGCGCAGGCGGCTTCCATCACGATCTGCATGGGCTTGGTGCCGCGCGAATTGGCAGGGACGACCGAGCGGGTTGGTGCCTACTTGCCCAGGTGGGTGCGAATTTGGCCTGGTGCCGTGCGGGCTTCGTGTCGTGGGAACCGGGTTTGGTGCCCGCGCGGGTTGGTTGCCCTTTGGTTTTGGCGGCCGACTGCAGCAGTAGCTGCCGCCTTGCCTGCTCCAGCAGGCTCCATCTTGTGAGCGCCTGCATTGTGGACGTCGGTTAATGGAGAGGAGGCATGCTGCCAAATCATTCCCAGATGTCTAGAAGATGTTTCAAAGATATGTTAAAACATGTAACAACATGCTTAAACCATTTCTAGGACATGATTTACACATTTTAAGCACATCTTTAACTCAATGGTAGACTTGTATGGTGTCCATTGTCGTGGCATCCACAACGCTAGCAACCATGGCCTTCTGAAGCTTGGGCCCGAGGAGCTTCGGGCCACCCACCTTGGGCTTCGGCTTGGCTCTGGCTCTCAGGATCTCTCGACTGGGTCTGGGACGGGTGGCCTGGCTGTCGCTACTGTTCGCACATCTGCCTTGGACAATGTCGTTCGCTCCAGTGTCAATGGCCCTGCAGAGGGCCAAGCCTAGTTGCACTGCTTCACCCTCACCGGCCTCAAGCTGCATCCTGGAGGCAACCTGATCGGCTAGTTTATATGCAATGATGTTTTCGACGAGTGCAAACGCAAGGGTACCTGTTGGGGCTGCTCCTCCCTCGGGGTCCATGTGCGGCTCGTTCATAATCATGGTGACCGTGCGGGACTAACGCTGTCGAGATCATTTTCCAACTATTGGGAAGGTCTTGCGGCTGGTGCCGCCAACCCTGAGGAGTGACGAAGACGACGACGGCTGCGGCGGCGACGATGATGACGCTAACGCTCTGGAGCCCTTCTTGGGGCTCTCTTGGGAGCCTGCTCGGCTCTGTTGGGGGGCCTCTTGGGGGACTTCTTGGGAAGCTTCGTGGCCACTTGGAGCCGCCTCAGAGCGGATCTGAGGGCTCCTGGAGGCATGTGGGACACTACGCAGCACCCCGCAACATCAAATCAAAGTGAAGAAGGAGGGTGCCTCCTTCGAAGGGGGGGTCTGGGAGAAGGGGATTGGTGGTGGTGGTGGTGGTCCTTATGCCCACGTGGGAGGCGGGGGGAGGGGTCCTGAGTTCCCCCTGTCCACAAGGGGTTCACCCTCCTGTCGCCCTTGTCCACGGGGGGGACCGCCAGTCAAGAGAGAACAACCCATCCCCACACCCACCTGGATGATTGATCTTTGGCTTACGCCGCTCCTCGGGGGAGAGTCGCTGTTGCGGCTTCTGGGTGCTGCGTGACATATGCTTGTATTTATGCCTAGTGGTTTTCTGCCCATCCCGCCGCCGTGCCTGGGTTGTGGTTCAGAGGCCTCTTGGGTGTTCGTTGGGATCTCGTGAGAAGCCTTCCGGGGGCCTGCCCGATGCAGTTCGGAAGCCTCTGGGGGGCTATTTTGGGGCCTCTCGGGGACTCTTTTGGGCCCCTTGGGGGCCTCTTGGGGCCTCCCGGGGGTCTTTTGGGGCGGACAGCGCTAGAATTTTCGGTTCGTGGTTCCCTTCTTGGGCCCCTCTTGGGGCCCTCTTGGGCTGTCTTGAGGCTCTCTTGGGCCGTCTTGGGGCTCTCTTGGGCCGTCTTGGGGCCTTCTTGGGGGCCTCTTGGGCCGTCTTGGGGCGGTCTTGGGGGCGTCTTGGGCCGTCTTCGAGCGTCGGAAGCTAGAAAAAGGCAAAAAAGCCAAACACCTTGAACAAAAACAAATGAGAATCAACGACTTTGGCCTCTTGGGGCCCACTTGGGAGGCCTCTTCGAAGCCTCCTGGGGCGTGTTGGAGGCATCTTGGGCCGTCTGGAGGTCTTCCTGGGCGTTTTTGGACGATGTTTCGGCGACTCGGGGCCCTCTTGGACCGTCTTGGAGGTCTCTTGGGGCCCTTCGTGGCCTGTTTTGAGGCCCTCGATGGCCCCCCCCGGCAGAGTTTCTGGAGCAGAGTAGCCCTCCCGGGCCGCCCGGGGAGACCGCCCCCCCCCCTCCGAGTCGACCGGTCTGGGCTCCCGGGGGAGGGGCTAGGGGAGGGGGAAGGAAGCATCTCACACGCCGAAGAACCCCAGGGGGTCGGCGGACTTTTGCATGTTTTCCAGAGTGCTTGTGGGCTTGGTTGACACGCCCCCGCGATGACGACTGCAAATGGCGACGTTTCCGTTTTTTGCCCATCGTGGTATAAATTTTGGATCAAATAAAAAACAGTTTTGTGTGTGTGTGTGTGTTTTAAGCGCGTTCTCTCGTTCATAGAATTGCGCCGCTGCACTTGCGCGATGGCGCAGTTTGAGCAGTGTCCCATGCAATTTCGTGCGCGGCAGTTCGTTACACATAAGTTGTGGGTGTTTTTATTCAAAGCCGCTTTGGTTTTACAATCTCTTCTTCCTGGATCTTTTCCAACTTTGAGGAACAGCTGGGTGCTCTACCTGATGTCGCGTCCCGCGAGCACCGTGGCTCAGCGAGGAACACCGCCGAGTCTTTACATGCCGTTTTGCAGCCGTTATCAGGCGATGCGTCGTCGCTCCAAAGCCTCCGGAATACGTGCACCGTGAGTGTTTCCCATCTATAGCAAACGGAACTCCAGACCCACTTCCGGATCCCATGACATCGGGACCGCATCTTGTACGCCCAGCTGTCGTATGGGATAGCACGTGGCGCCACCTTTGTATCGCAGTATCTGGCTCTGATGTTCGCATGGTAATACAGAATCCGCATATCGCGGACCTCGGCAACCTCCAGAACAAGATCGTAGTTCGAGGCTCGTGGAATCAGATGGAGCTAGTCAGGCAGCTGCTCTGGCATCTGAGGGACTCATGTGACTGTGTAACGCGTACAAGGTGTGATCCTTCCCACAATGGGGCATGCGTTACGGTGAGCATCTACATCCTTCGGTTTGGTAGACCATAGGAGCTACATGCCCTGTCTGAGCAGCTGCTTC